ACTCTTTCTTCATGTGTTTTTTTTCTCTAGACTGTCCAGTAGCTCACTAGAAACCTGTGTTTTGGCTGCTTTTTATATCAATGAACGCTATGAAATGAATCTCAAGCATTCGACTTCATCACCATCCTGCAACTGCTCTCCTCCTCCTAAGAAGATTAACATCAAGCATGGCAATGGAGGAGGAGATAGTGAGTGATGATAAGTACTGCCAATCCCAGACAGCCGTAAGAAGAAAAGCTACATCACAAGAACAACAATTGATGGAGCATGGGAATTATGAAGAAGCAATTCAAGTTGTGAACCACTTCCTCTCTTTCTCCTCCAATCCTCTTCAGGAATTGACCCAGGGCTAGCCCATGCCTCATTTTTGGGCCCCATCTGCTTGGATGACATGCACTTTGCCCTCTCTTGCTATGATGATGCTATGAGCTGCTACACCTCTGCATTGGCCTTTCAGAGGCGAATACTCGAAGACTCTGACTCTCGCTTGGAGATAGTTCAAGGGATCGAGAGGGGAAACGCTTTGCCAAGGCTGAGGAGGTAGGACGAGGCCGTCGAGAATTCCAAGGGGGTGGGATTGTCCTTGCAAATCCGGTCAAGATTATGGCCAAAATGGTGGCCGGCCAAAAAGATTCAGTATGTGAAACTCTAAACTAGAAATTTGTGGGTTCTCTTTGCAAATCCCGATCAAGATGTCAAAATGGTGACCGACCAAAAAGATTCAGTCTGTGAAACCCTAAACCTGAAATTTGTGGGTTCTCCATGCAAATCCCGGTCAAAAGATTCTGGCCAAAATGGTGACCGGCCAAAAAGATTGAAATTTGTGGATTCTCCCTGCAAATCCCGATCAAGATTCCGGCCAAAATGGTGGCCAGCCAAAAAGATTGAAATTTGTGGGTTCTCCCTGCAAATCCTGGTCAAGATTCCGGCCAAAATGGTGGCAGGCCAAAAATGGTGGCCGGTGAGCAGGTGAGGGGGGAGATAGAGAGAGAGAGAGGGGTTTGGGAGGTTGATGGGGGAGAGAGAAAGGGATCACATTAAGAGATATTGGGGTTAAAAAACCAGGTATTTTTTAGGTTTGTTTGGGTCAAAAAAAATTAATAAAAAATGAATAAAATATGATGGGGGGTTAGGAGATATAATAGTGGGAACTTTTATGTAGTAAAATAGATTTTGCAACCTAAAGTCAACCGAGAAATGAAAATTGAAAATGAGATCTATGGAGATATTTTTCCTTAAAAAAAACCAAAATGTTTGGTACTAACAATACGGAATATAAGATAAAGTAGTTTGGTACTGAGAGTATTGACTATAACATGTAAAATAATAACTTCGTTTTGATACTCTTAGTAGCCAAACTTAATCAAATGCATAAGTATGTTGGGGACTCTCACTACTGAGCTTAATCAAAGGCCTGAATATGTTTGAACATTATTTTTTCGCAAAATCCAAGTTGAGTACAGCTCGAAACTAAAAGTACTCAACTAATACGCATTTTTTAAAATAAAATAGAATGGGAAAAATGGACATATACATAAAATATAAAATTTTGGGGACATTTTTTAAACATCAGTAAAAAAACAGAGATATTTACCATAACTTTCCCTATGTTTAAATAATAATTTGGAATTTGAATCCATAGATTATTAATTTTAAACGTTCAATTTGGATTTTGAGCTCTTTTGAGTTTAATTGGACGGTCTAGATTCAATCATTAGGCGGTCATCTTTTCATAGAGACATTTGGAATTTCTTTTTACCTTAAAATGGGTGCTAGGTTTAAGAGGTTTTATCCCAGGTATCAAAAGTCTTGGACTAACTTTTCCTTGTGAATCTTGCCTCAAAAAAATCAGCTTTTTGCAGGGAAAATAACGAACTCATAGGTGAAAAATAACAGCTACTTCTCCATCCATGAAGTTCACTGTCTCCACACATTTTCACCCTCTACTTTCTACAGACAAATACATATAACTGGTAAACTTTTTAACAAAACATAATGCTACTAATTTACAGGGAAATTTACAATAATAACTTCCAATTTTTTAGAATTAAAAATTTATCCCCATATGTATATATATTGTAATTCACACTCATGTCCTGGTTTTTCAATTTTTTATTTTTATGTTTCATCTGTCTGGACCAATGCAGAAAAATTAAACCGGAATGGTTGATTGGACATGGGCTGAAAGAAGTTACTCGGTGCAACCGGTAAACCTGTTGGTTCAACCGGCTAACCAAACAAGTCTAGGGCGGTAAAAACAGTGTTAAAAAAATATAAAAATACAAAAAAAAACTAAGAAAATATGATTAAACAAACAACATCTAATGAAGTTGAAAATTAAAGAAAGAAATGGGTTTTATAGAATCGCTTTGTGCCCAAGGGAATTTTTATAATTTTCTAAAAAGATGGAAAAAAGTAAAAATAAGTATTAATCCCCAAAACAATTTTCAATCTTTTCCAAAAAAATGGAAAACATTAAAAATTCATTACAAACAAAATCTATTTTTAAAAAAAATTTATATAATTTTTTTGAATTTTTTAACATAAACGGGCGGAAACCAAAACCAGTTAGTGGCCGGTTCCAATATAACCGGGCAGTTAGAATTTGAACTGTTCGATTTTCATACACTGGTTTGGACTTTCAATATTTGAACTAAAATTATTGAGAAATTTAGTTCGATTTTTGAAATTTTGAATTTTGCCCCACAATTTTCCTTAAAACATATTTATGGGTGAAAGGGTGGATTCAGATTTTGAAATTCTGAACTGAAAAATTCAAGTGAATCAGTTCCAAATTTCAAAATCCGAACCAGTGGATTCACAAGATACTGATTTGGAATTTCAACTTCTCAAACGATTTACTCCATGGTTTTAGTTCTGATATTGAAAGTCCGAATTGATAGCATCTTTGAAAAATATAAAAAAGAACTAAAAAAAATAAGGACATGAGTGCAAATAAAAAGATATTAGAGAGATTCTTAATTTTGCCTATAGTACACTGGATATGTAACAGCAAATTTTGTATAGGACAGGACCCAAACGAACCTAGTGGTTTTGACTCCTTAAACGATATTTTTCCTCCAAAAAGAAATAATACAATGTGGACTATTTTTAAGGCCCCAACCTTATCGATATTTTTCCTCCAAAAAGCAATAGTACAATGTGGACTATTTTTTGAAGCCCAAATCTTATTGTTTTTTCAGATTTATAATCACGACGGTAAAGTTACAAATATTATGAATTTATATCCAAAAATAGATCTCCAAGATGGATTTTTTAATAAGTGGACACACTAGAATATGTGTGCCTGTTCGCGTGAAATTGTTTTTCGGGAAATATTTTCATATGAAAAAATTCTCTCATGTGGTTAAGTGTGGGAATATTTTCAATTAATTGTCAATGGTGTGAAAATATGTACTAAGAAATCAA